GGAGTTCCGTCCCCCGGTCGGCCGGAGCCACTAGTCCAGCGGCTCAAGGGGCCGGCGTGGTTGTATCTCGCTGGGGCCTCCAGAAATGTTACGGAAACAACAGGCCAGCCAAGAAACAAGCACCACTCGGAGGGTTGGAGTACTCAGATTTATTACGCCGGCGGGCCCAGAGGGACTTCTGCTCCGAAGCACTGAGCACCTCCAAGACTTGCACATGAGGTTTTATAGGGTTAATTACAAGTATGGGGCTATTAGCCAATAAGGCTCAAACAACAAAAAGCAAGGAATCAGTACACTGGAGCTTACCAATTTGGAACAGATCACGTTACTGATACTTGTTGAGCTTGGAATTACGAGTTAGCTTGTTAGCCCAATAAACTGACACTAAACTTCAGATTTACGAGTTAGCCCAGCAGAACTTAGATCAGTAAACCAACACTTATCACACTTAAATTTGTGACTTAGCTTGTTAGCCCAGCTGGGCTTTTCCTTCACATGCTTATATAGGTATAATTAATCAAATTGCCATGAATCATAACTAGCTTAAGGAGAAGAGTTTCTTTATGTCTGGGAAACAGGTTAAAAGCCAGTAGTATTTCAAACAAAATCAAAAATTATAACCATATTCATCAGTTTACTCAGTCCCATGTAACTAATTCTTTTAATCAGAGTTTTCATTAGACCTTTAAAATTTCTTACCCAGTTTATTTCAGTGCTATAGTTTGAAATTTATTAGAAACCAGTATATCTCCTTGAAGAGAAAGCATTTTGCAAAATCATCAGAAGAAAACAATTACCTGTCTATTAATGACAAAAGATTTAACAGCACGGTTAAACACTGTTACACTATAATCGATAAAGAAACCTGGTCACAATAACCAGAATTATGACTGGTAACATTTCAGATATACCAGAATTTTAGGGAGTCCATATTGTGAAGGAAAAGCTGGGCTGGTCTAACAAGATAACTCACAAGTCTAGGAATGTGAAGGAGAGGCTGGGCTGGTCTAACAAGATAACTCACAAATCTAAGTATTGGAATACTGATCTGAGTTCTGCTAGACTAAATTGTAAATCTAGGTTAGTTAGTGTTGGTTTGCTGTTCATGTTTTTTGCTAGCCAGCTGGGTTTTCAAAGATACATATCTGGCTTTGGAATGTTGGTTTGCTGCCTCCCTGCCTCCACCTTTGTGATGATAATGCTGCTAATGCTGTTCCATGCCTATTGGCCAAATATCCCAAGCTTGTACTTTACCCTATAAAACCTCATGCGCAAGTCTTGGAGGTGCTCAGAGCTTCAGAGCAGAAGCCCCTCTGAGCCCGCCGGCATGATACATCTGAGTACTCCAACCCTCCGATTGGTGCTTGTTTCTTGACTGGCCTGTCGTTTCCAAAACAATATAATTTCTAGACTGTCTATATTAATAATACTTTCTCATACAATATAAACTAGGAAGAATTACTATTCATTTGACAATACTTCCCATGTTATTTAACATGCCAAATGAAACTTACTAGTTTAAAATCTCTCTTTGGGATATTTCAGGGACCCTCAGTAGCATCCCAAAATTAACTGGAGATTAAAAGAACTTTAATTAGAAATTGATGTTTGGGGAGTTTGTTAAAAGATTTCAAAACACTTCGTCAGATAAAATTATAGATCACTGTAAAGAAGTACTTATTCATTAACAAGAAAATATTTCAAAGGAAAAGGCAGAACAGATCAGTTAAGTGGTATAAGAAGTTTTACAATCTGTTACTGAAGGTGGATTAACATTTTAAGAAAATTTTGTCCTCTTAATAGAGAGAAAACCAAATCTAGTCTTGTACCAGCTTACTTCTAAGATTCAGTTTCTTTGCCCAAATTGATTCTAAACTTAGCCAATTCCGACCACGTTCAAAAGTCTTTTCTCAGGGTTCCACTTCCACAAGCCTTCCACAGCTTTCTATTCTCATATTAGTGTGTCCCTTATTTTCTCTTCCATTCAGAAGTAACCTGCTTAATGATACAGTCACTATTTTTCATTAACAAAATATAATTCCATTCCTTATATCTTCCTTTACACATTTATCTTACTTTCCTAGGATACTGAGATCTTTCCCTTAATAATAGAGACTATTTCAGGGTGGCACCAACTATTTATTAATATTTCTAAACACCTTTAGTTTCTCTGTAAGAGGAAGTTAAATGTTAAGTAATTCATATTTCAATCTTATTTTATCTCAAAATGGCATAGCTATTTAATCAACTTCTCTCATTTAACTTACTTTAGCCCAACTCTAGAATTTAAAGATACCTAATATTTAGAGATTATCTTAATCATACATTTTAAAAATATATTTTAAAGAATTTACCCAAAGCTCTCTTCTCATTTGCATTTAATTTACTAAAAATTTTATCATACCACATTACTTTTTTTTGACAAATCTGCAACACATATAACAGGATCTTATTTGACTTTCATTAAACCTAGGTACAGAAAGGGTATTATACTTAATATTGATGACTTTAAAGGTGTCTATATTAATTAGAACATACTTAAACTAAATTTAATACCAAGTATTATCTTAATATTGAATATTTTCAAGTTTATGTGAACCTGAAGGTCAATTTTGTCAGTTTTTATTTTAAAAATACTTAGCTTGTAAGCTCTTATTTTTTTTACGTCAATTAAGCAGAGCTCTTTGACTTTGATTTTTTTTAGCCGTAGAAATATCTCATATCTATAATGTGTACGCAGGCTTATAAATAGACAAAAGCTAAAGCTCTAATAGCTTCACTTTCAAACTTACCTATGAGATAGGTATAATAATAGTTGGAGTAAGCTGAATTTGCTTGCTCAAATCACTAAGGCTTACTATTTTTGAAAAAGGCATTTAAGATTTCTTGAGAAAGTCTGAAGGACCCGTCAGAGTTCCGAGTTCTAAAATGCCAAAAATTTCTTTGGCCTTAAGTTTTATCTCCTTGAGCTAATTAGGCTCAGTCCTAGGTGACTGTTTGCTGTATTTACATTTCTGATCTGAAAGACAAAGACACATGCTTCCAGTTCCCCAGAGAACTGCTCTGTCACTTAGGCCCAATTGTATCTCCTTAATTTGCTTTTTTGTATCAGTGACAAGAACTGTATACAAAGAATTCCATGTTTTAAAACTTTAAGGTTTACTTTATCATGTCTTCCAAAGATTGCATAATGCATTTAGTAAGGTCTCTTTTCCTTGAGTTATAAGTTAAACCCAGGTTAAACTTCTTACTATATTTTTTATTAGCCACTGAATATTAGTTTTTAGTTTTACGTTATATTGGAAGACTCATGTAACTCTATTGGTTTCCATTAGTTTATTCACTTACTATTTTCTGAGGGACAGATATGTGCCCAGTCTTATAATACCAAGAAGGGAAACGTTTTTCCATTGAATCATATATATCCCACAATATAATAAAGCAAAATATTTATATAAAGCCCATTTAAATATACCAAATTTACAAACTTTTATCTCAATTTTATTAATTTTTATACCTTTAATTTTAATATTTTTTAGGTTTAATCAATAATTTTTATTTCTAGAAGGAGTGCCAGAAGCCTTTTCCTTTTTTCTTTTTCTTTTATTTTCTTTTTTTTCTTTCTTTTCTTTTTTTTGTGCACTGTATCCAATTTTATAGAAAAGTCTCTGGGATTGCCAAGTTTAAATAAAACGGACTTGTTTGAACTTTAATGTTGGGGGGTCAGTAGTTGATTTCTTTGGGCTTTTATTTCTTTAACTTTATGTAGTGTAGTATCAAAACCTTGTATTTAAATCCAAAAATGTCCATTTTATTTATCTCATTCAAAATAACCATTTAAAAATATTTGCCCAATTGGGATAAGCTCATTATCTTTTTTTTTGCATTAAGAAAAAATCTTTCGACATTTTTACATTCCTTTTTCCAGTTACTCAACCTAATTAACATTAATTATTATAAGTTTTTAATAGCATCCCTAAAACCATTGTTGGGAAAGGAAAAACACAAATGTAGCTTTTCAAACCATTTTTTCAACTAAGTTCTTAGGTTAACCATTAGATATATTTTTCTACCTTTAAACTTGATTTTAATAGGTACCAATAAAAAAGCTGTTTATAATGAGAGCTCTTTCAACTTTCACCAATTTAAGTTTTTCCAAATTAAAAGATCCATCATATGGCCATCAATTTATATATATGTGTGTGTATATATATAAAATCACTATATATATATAGTGATTTTAAACGTATAAGATGAAGAGGCTTATTTATACAATGGAATACTACTCAGCCATAAAAACCGACAACATAACGCCATTTGCAGCAACATGGATGCTCCTAGAGAATGTCATTCTAAGTGAAGTAAGCCAGAAAGAGAAAGAAAAATACCATATGAGATCGCTCCTATGTGGAATCTAAAGACTCATGGACAGAGAATACAGACTTGTGGTTACCAGGGGGGTAGAGGGTGGGAAGGGATAGACTGGGATTTCAAAATTGTAGAATAGATAAACAAGATTATACTGTGTAGCACAGGGAAATATACACAAAATGTTATGATAAATCACAGAGAAAAAAATGTGACAGTGTGTATATGTCCATGAATGACTGAAAAGTTGTGCTGAACACTGGAATTTGACACAACATTTTAAAATGATTATAAATCAATAAAAAATGTTAAAAAAAAAAGATGAAGAGGCTTTCCCACATGAGAGTGGGCGTGTTGCCTAAATAAAATTCAAAAGTTTACTCTCCAAAAGCTAAAGGCCTTTGTGGTCCAGGCTGATGAAACAAAGTTTAAGATGGCAAAATGCTTGAAAATTGGTACTATAAAAGGATTGCTGAGAATCCCAATTTATTTGCATGCCCACAATATGTACACAATACTTGTACCTTTTCTATGGCAGAGTCCAAGTTTTCCTTTAAAAAAAGGAAACACATATATACATACATACACAAACATAAAATACACAGAGAAAGATAAAACGTTTAAAATTCAAGAAGATAGGAAGAGAAATCCAAGTTCCCCCTAAAGGTGTTTTTGTTTTTATAAGTTCAGATTTCCAAAAAATGTTTTTATCAGGCCTGGTTAGTCACTTTCAGAGTGAGATTTTTTTTAATACCCAATTAAAGTTGTAAGTTTTGTACGTATATAAACCTGGCTGAGGTATTAGTTGGAAGCTGGCAATCTATCATTTCTTTTTCTTTTCATTTCTTTCATTTTTTTTTTGAAAGTTCTATTCCCCATTCTAAGGTCGGGATATCAGAATAAAATTGCTAGTAAGTATTCCCGCAGGGACCACTCTATAGCATGCAGTCTTTGTCTCTACCACTCCTGCAAGTTTCTCTGTCACCCAAGAAAGCTGTTACCAGCTAGGGGGAGGGTCCCATTTTTGGACTTGAAAGGTTCCTCCTAAGGGTTTTAATTTTATTCTGAAAAATTCAATGGAGGTAACCAAGTTGAGGAAACCATTAGACCAGCCACTTACCTAGCCACTCAGTCATGAACCCAGTGTCTTTCAACTTGGACCCACTCGGAACGTCTCCACTGGGTATTTTCCTGGTATCTTTCAACCAGGCCCACCCAGTATGTCTCCACTGGGTGGGTAATTCCCCCCAGTATCTTTGAACTGGAAGGCCAGTTACCTGGATACACCGCCAAATAAAACTCAGGATCATCAACCAAAATGGGAGATCCGAGAACCAGGAGAGACTCACCCAAATTCATCTGGACACCCCAAGGAGGCCAATGAGCATAAAGGGCCACTGCTGGTACCAAGGCTCCAGTTACTCCCAGAGTTCAGGTGGAGAGAAGCCTGCTCTGGGTCCCTTCATGGTGTCCAAAACTGTTTACAGAAATACATGTGCAGCCTAAAAGTTAAGAGTTATGTTTTATTTGGCGGGAGGACTCGAGCCGTGATGACAGCCTCTCAGATCACTCTGAGGGACTGCTCCGAAGAGGTTGAGGAGGAGCTAGGATATACAGGAGCTTTACAACAAAGACCAGGTAGCTGGAACAATAAAATATTGCTTGTTATCTTAAGAAAGCCAGGTATCTCAAGTTAAAGAATTTAATGCTTTTCTATGTATGGGAGGAAGCAAACATTTGGACTCACTGAATTCATTCTTTAGACAAGCACCTAGCTATGTAGGACAAGTATCCTGTCTTTCCTTATTTGGGTATGCTCAGAGGACACCGTTGTGAGTGGCTGCAGAGGTTGGGCTGCAAGCCTGTCCTTGCTGGGGGGTGGCGGCAGCCGCTGATGTCTTGGTTTCAGCATTCTTTGTTTACTGGCATGGTTGCAGCATTTTCATTCACATTGTAGTATATTCTTTCACAGACTGATTATGGATAATCTGGAAACTTGGAAAGGAACCGAGATGGAATTACTGCAGGTACCTTCTACTTTAATAAGCCATGTGCAAACCTAAACACGGAGGAAGCATACAAAAGGATTTGGTGGTGTAGGGAAGGGTTTCTGCACATTACAGGAGAAGGCATGGCAGAATTCCTCTTCTTTGTGGACAGAGACGTGTGTCCACCTTTCTTTTCTGTAGTGGTTTCTGAGAGCAGTTTATGGTAATTAACCAAAATTGACAAACAGTGGCACACTTTGCATTTAAGAGCTGGCCTGTGCAAACTTGTGTATTGGACAGGTGGATTTCATAGGCAAGTGGTCAGGTGGATTGGAGAGAGACGTAGCCCAGGCCTGGGCTCAGATTCAGGTTTAAATCGCCATTTCCTCACCAAAGGGCCTTGGAAAAGAGTGTAACCTACCTTAACCTGTTGGTGAATCTGTGAAATGGGCATGATAATATTAGTTTCTACCAGGGTTTGTTGTAAGTTGTAAACAGTATTATAACACACATGAAGCACTTAACAGGCACTTAGCAGTGTTTACTGGGTCCGTCCGCCCAGCTTAGCGTGTGTCAGAGCCGTAAATGCAGCATGTGTCTGTTGAAGACGCACTGGTAGCCGCTTGAATAGGTTGTGAATTTGGTGATTTCCTTTAATACTTGTAACTTTATGTGCCATGGGCAGTTATTTTCATGGACAGATGATGAATCTCAGGGTAAAGAAGACTGTGTAATTTGCCCAAAGCCAGACCATAATTTTGGGTGCAGGGGCCTCGGTTCAGCATGGGTCCCTGGGCTTTCCACCCTCTCCGTTCAGCACCAGAGCCAGACGTGGGGTCGCCTGTCTCCCAGCCCATAATATCCGGTAGGCAGAAAGACACAACTGGACCTGTGCTGCTTAAGCAAAAACTCCAGAGGGGAGGAAGATGCTAAAGGGATAACCATAAAACAGACGACTGCAAACTGTGATCAGCTCTGAGAATGAAAATAACACGTCTCGCAGTGCAGAGCTGGGAGCTTTCCTGTCGGGGCTACTCTGGGGGCGTTCATCTCAGCTAAACAAGCTCTGCTCCTGCACCAAGGAAGGAAGGCTTGGCGCGTGTGACCAGGTAGACTGGGCCTCGTTGATCATACTCATTCCCCATTAAGCGGCAGCTGTCACGGGCACTTACCTAGTAAACAGATGTCGGCCATAATCATCACGCACTTTGCTCGGTAGTTTTATTGGCCTCACGTTTGAGATGAGGTAATTGAAGCTGGGGAGTTTGCTGCATGCCCGTGGTTACTATGGAAATACCCCCACTGGTCTTTCAACCTAGACTGGTGTGGATGTCATGCCACAGCCCTGTGAATGGCATCGTGTAGCTTCTCCCAAGTGGCCCAAATGACTGACATTGATTTTCTAAATTCGTAGGAAATGGTATGAGATAATAAGAGAAAAAGGTTGTAAGAAACTGTTTGGAAAACTAGAACAAAATCCAATTCTTCCCCAGCTGGGGGAGCGTACCCTGTGTCACTCACCCCCCTCACTGCCTGGCACCTCCTCCCTGCCAACTCCGTGTTCAGAAGCCACTCTGAGCCTTTGAAGAACATTTTGCCTCATGACACTGTTGACGAGGACCTGTGACCTCTGTGTCCCTTTTAAACTCTCTCTTCAAAGCCATTTAAATTTTATGCAGGCTCCTCCGCTCAGATGTAAGAATAGCCTCTTTAAACTTCTTGATGCAGCTCCTTAATGACGATCTTGCGAAGGAAACCTAGACAAAACCTGGGATTTATGCACATAGTGACTGTAACTTCACCATTTTGTGAAGATCAGAATCAGAGGGGTGGGAGAATCAGGAAAGGCTTTTTAAGGTAGCAAGGGGAAAGTGAAAGGACGCAGGCTGTGTGAGACTGAAACATCTCTGGTCCCAGCCAGCAAGGCACCTGAGTTCAAGATGGTGTGTGGAGAGTGCAGAGCTGTCACAAAGAAAGAAGTGGTAGGATGGGAGGGAGGACATTTAGGTTCTTTACTGGGGAAGGAAAACGTGGGCTGAACATTTCCTGGTTGAACAAGAGGACTGTGACATTATGTGTTTGTATTATGGAGAGAAGTGTTTTGTAGGGACAGCCTAGGGAGAACGCTCTTTGACTGGGGAATCAGCACAACAAAGAACCACAGAGAACCCAGCCGACCCCAGGGCCCCTGCTGGGGGCGAGGTTGCACACCATTTCGAGCCCTGGGGGCTGCTTCTGTCCCTTAGCTGGGGTCTCAGAACTCCCATCACAGGGGATTCAGAGCTCCTTTCACTGGGGCCTCAGAGCTCCCTTCGCAACCCAGTCCTGTTGATACAAGAATACAGATGTGGGGCACGAGAAGGGCTTTGTCCCAGGCTTTGGTTGAACCCCTGGAATGTGCCCCACCAGACGTGGGTCCTTGGCTTCGTGCAGGAAAGCATTCAAGAGCAAGCCACTGTTGAGTAAAGGTAGATTTATTCAGAGAGATACATTGAAAGGCAAGAGAAAGGCCACGAGGTGTGGGGGTAGGGTGCTCAGATTAAAAGTAGGTACACACCCCACAGACAGATTGTGGGCCTTCTCCAAAGCGGGAGAGAGGGGTGACCCCGAGGCTGCCCTGTGTTGCTTGTTTACATGGGCGTGGTGGCTTCATATGCTAATAAGTAGAAGGACCAGCCTAAGGGCAAGGGGATGGAATTCCCAGGGAGTTGGCCATTTCCCACCCTTTGACCTTTTGTGGCTAGCCTTGGTACTGTCATGGAGCCTGGGCGCGTGTTATTCACCATGTTACTATTACAATGGGTGTATAATGAAGCTCAAGATCTGCTAGAAGTTAAATCTCTTCATCCTGAGCCTCAAGGCCTATTGGGGGTTGAATCCTTCACCATTTTGGTGTTAATTGCTGTGGCCTTCCTTGAATGGCTGTGCTCTGACCCCTTCCATCCTGTATCACTGTGATGACACAGAGAGAGCAAAGGCTGGGCCCTATCTCTGCTCCTGCATTTAACAGGGGAGCGGTGGGGTGGGCTGAGGATGACTCTGAGTGGTGAGAAGGATGTTTCAGATTTTCGCACGTGGGACTTGGGGACCTGCCAGCAGCCACCGCAGATTTATATCTCGGGCATTATCGCTTGTGTCACTCATCTTTTTCTATTTTTCATTTTTTTTAAGTATTTAATCTAAATTTAATATCAGGTTTTTTTAGAAAAGAAATTCCTGTTTTTCTTTTCTTTGGGGCTCTTTTGGAGGGATAGGTAATTATGTGTATTTATCTGGTTTTGCAGTCCCTGGGGCGTGAACCCAGGACCCCGTGTACGCTAAGCACGCGCTCTACCACTGAGCTCTACCACCCGCCCCGTCATCTTTTTCTTTTTGCTTTAGCTGCCAGGAATCTTACAGCTGAATTTCTAGTAGGCCTTTAACAATTACCCTTACTTCATGGCATCCGTTTTTATGACTTTACCTCTCCCTGGTTTCATTTAAGTATTGAATCTCCATTTTCTCTTCACTCTCACTTTTGTCTTTTTGTTGTTATGTGAAGGAAAAGCCCAGCTGGGCTAACAAGCTAAGTCACAAATCTAAGTGCAACAAGTGTCGGATTACTGATCTGAGTTCTGCTGGACTAACTCATAAATCTGAAGTTTAGTGTCAGTCTAT